TCCTCTGTACTGTTAGTACTGTTTCTATCACTGCTCCATTTTCGCTCAAGTGGATGGGTATCCATTTCCGCATTGTAAAAAATTGTGATTCTTCTCCCACCAGGATACAGAAGACCATTGAGTGCGAGTATAACTGAAATGACCTTGAAATATATATTATTCCACCTGCTCTAATCCAATCCTGAGTCGAGAGTGCCTTTGATGATTAAATGTACAGTTTGCACGTTCTGAAAAGATCGCTTGCAAAAAGTATAAATACATTCCAGGTTGGTTTTATTTGAAGACAAACAGTAAATCTACTTTAAAAAACCACTTAAGCTGGCTAACAATAGTTTCGACCTCTTTCCAGCGCTTTTAGTTTGATAGATCAATAATATCATACTTTATCAAGTGGCGGCTCTGAATCTCTTCCACGGAGTTGTTCTTAAACTTTGTAAAATGATTGTACTTTGACATGCTGATCTCAACTTGATATAATGGATGAGGGCCACCGATCTTGTTTTTGAGTTATAATCAGGCAATTAAAGCTAAAATGGAGGGTGTTTTAGTAGATTATTATGGTGCTATGTTAACCTGTTATCTACTTAATACCGTAACTAGTTCACCAATGAAAGAGCATTCGTTTGAAGAGTCTTAATATTGATCCGTCAAAATATGCATTTAGGTGCTGGAAAGAATTATAAATTATTGTCAGCCACCTTAAATAATAAAACTCACAGGAAACATGGATGAGGACTGAGGTAGTAGTCGTTTTAAATGAAGATGATATTAACAATGAATTAAAGCACAGGTCTGAATGGATCCTGAATACTGTAACTCACTTTTTTTGTTCATTCCTTAAGGCTCCTGTGGGATCCTCAGTACAATGATCTCAGACTGCTATCACGACTACACCTTCGCGGGGGAAGATACTACCTTGATGAGCCTACCAGGATGGAAAGAATTACCTCCGAACACCACCTGGCCTGATTCTCTAAAGATGTGCCCTCTTCCCTGGCGCTATCAAACTCCCCAAGATCTTGGCAATGCACTTCCCATGTGGGGAACGTACAAACTGTACAGGGGAGGTGGATACATCGCCGCACTAGGATATAACGAACAAACAGCGGAGCGCGTTCTGACTGAAACTCTCAGTCAAGGGTGGATTGATCGGCAGACAAGAGCTGTAGTTTTAGAATTTACGGTGTTCAACATCAACACAAACTTGATCAGCATCGCAACGTTCTTCTATGAAGTACTGGCTACCGGCGCTGCTTACACAACGAAAAAGGTTGAGACACTGGAGCTGTATAGCACGGAATCGGGATCCCAAGAGTTTTACTACATTTGTCAATTCCTTTTCATGGCTATGACGGCGTTCTATCTTGTGCTCCTGTTGATAAACCTTTTTCGTCAGCGAGCAGCTTTTTTCAAGTCTCCTTGGAATATGATTGAGTTTTTGCAAATACTATCTTCTGTGGCCTCTTTTGCGTTCTACACGCTGAAAGCTAAAAGCATTTTGAAAAGCATAAAGGCTATTCAATCCAACCCTTATGCCATCATAAATTTTCATTCCTCTTTGTCTTGGACTGAGTGGGAAAATGCGTCAATTGCTGTTGCTATTTTCATGGCAACTTTGAAATTTCTTCATCTTATTCGCTTTAACTCCCACGTCATCTATTTATTCTCATCTTTTCGACAGTCAGCTGGAAACCAATTGTCCTTTCTGTTCGTTTTCTGTTTAACTTTCAATTCCTTTGCTACGTCAGGAATTGGGTTGTTTGGTCCATCAACCTTATATTACTCAAGCTATTTGCGAGCGACTGTGTCACAGTTTGAGTTCTTACTGGGAAAGGCAGTTCCCTTGGAGGAACTTCGAGCCGTGAACCGTGTCATTGGCCCTGCCTTTGCCTTCTTATACATGTTGATGATGACCATTCTTCTAATGAATTTGATTGTTTCTATGTTGAACGATTCATACTCAGAAGCCAAAACTAACGTGGAGGAAAGCGCAGAAGATTTAGAAATAGCACATTACTTCGAGGAGCGTTTAGCGGGGTTGCTCGGTAGTGGAAATGGGGAACGCCACCTAAAGAAGCTATTTTGCGACGAAGCAACATTTGTTAACATGTGTCGATCAGAGGCGGAACCGAACTGTCTGAACTCGAACGGAATTGTTCAGTCTACGAGAGAAAGAATGGCCAAAATCGACCAGCGAATCGGAAAGCTTATTCAACTATCGCAAAAAGGAGAAGAAGATCACTATGAGGAGGACATTGAGCTTCTTAATCTCTTACTTGCTGTGTCACCCAGGTTACAAGGACAAGATTTAGAGGAAGCAATCATGTATTAAACGACTACGCATGTTCGAACCTCGAACATGCGTACTGAGGGTTGATCAGTTGGACAATGAGTTTTGGAAGATTTTCTCTTGATTTCAACATAACATTAACTTTAATTAGAATTATAGGGAACACTTGCATAATAATTCTTAATCAAATCTGCATCGCCAAGCCACGTAATATTTCTGAACGGGTATCAGAATGAGAGTTTGGTACTACTTATTTTCTTCACATATTTTTTTACAGCCGAGGAATTTCCAGAAGTAAACTGATGAGCAGAATATGTTTTAGCTTTAAGTTCGGGATATTATGTTTTTTTCCTGCCTCGTAAAACCACCACGAATTCACACTCGAGCAAATATTTTAGTATCGAGCATTAGGTGAATTCTTTTTACTTCTACTGGAGCACATGGAAACAGCTTCAGTTACACAAGTACATTGCAAAAGTACCGCTCACCTGAAAGGTAAATTGTCGTCTCTCTATATAGTAGTGGAGGCAGTGGTAGTATTGGAATATATTGGTCTCGTGTCTTGAAGGAAATCGAATCAAGTCAATGCTTTTCGTACAGTTATTTAACATTGTTATGTTTCCTTAAAACAAATAGGTATAATACATTTAATTGCATAGTAGCACTCTGTGTACGTGTGATTATTAAAATATTATTGAGTAGACAGCTTTTGCAAGGATGGCATTAACAAAGATAACATTTTCTACTGAGAACCAAAATGAACCATGAAATAATAACAGTACTGCTTCAAGCGATAGCCCCCTAAGGAAAGCAAACGATGCCTTAATTCAAAATCAATAAAATGGTTACCAAAAAAGACAGTTGATTTCTTTGTTAGTTTTTTTGATTATAGAATAGATTAGTCTGTCCTGTCTATAGCCTATCATTTATCGGTGTACTATGGGTCCTTGGCAGAACACGATTGGCTTACTCCAAATGGCAGGGTCCCCGTGAGTTCCTTGTTTTCACGGGTAACTCTCGAGGAAGATGTTTTTGCAGCAAGTTCGCAAATTTCAGATGACACAAAGAACTTGAGTTCACCTTGGGCTGGGTCCAACCGGACCCGAGTCCTTGACCTCAACCGTATGGAAGCAAATGGAAATTCGAGAACGACATGTCTTGTCCCATTGTTCCCAGGCCAGGTTGCTCTCCACGGACAAAACGAGAAGAGATGCGCGGTAATGGTTGTTTAGGCAATGACACGCAAGGCGCCTTTGACTTTCCAAGTGCAATAGGCTCAAAACTCCATGCGCACCGCGCTCCGAGAAAAGAAGGACAGACAATGTGTAACAAGCAATCCCACAAGCCTGCTAGCGTATAACTGAAGAGCAGCTGCATGTACAAAGCACTTCATAATCATACTCTACACGGATGAAGTGTTCATTAATCATGAAGTGCTAGAACTATCAATGATGGTTTAATGCTATTTATAAGCTCTTTGTTCATAGGCAAGTAATTTAGGGACTCCATACTCACTTTAACCCTATTTCGCCTGGGTATGTTTTCAAAGGTTATTTTATCGAAATTCGGTGTGCTTTATGGTGTTTAAATATACGCAGATAGACGATGATCACTTATGCAAACAAGTTTGAATGCCTCACACAACATGTAAGTTTGATTAGTAGTGAATGAATACTTTTGGAATTTAAATGGACACAAACAGCACCCCCTTCTAGCTGACGCACGGAGAAAATTTTAAAAAGTCATGCTAAATCGAGTCCGGGTGTTTCTCTTTGCAAGTCATGTGGCTACCACCTTCGTAAACCACTGAGGAAAACTGCACTCATTCGTAAGTGACCCCTCCCCCTATCCTTAGCTTGAAATTGTTGTACATTTGCGATTAGATGTTAAAGTAGCCAGTTCCAAGCTCTCTATCACTGGGGACGTGTGAAGAAACGCGCGGGCGCAAAGCGGCGTCTGGGAAAAAAAAGGAGAGGGCGCTCAGTCTTATTCTTTTCTCTCTCAGACCCCGCTCTTTGCCCGCCCGCTTTTTCGATCGTCCTACTGACTGAGGGCCTGGAAAAGGCTAATGCTTCAGATTAAATGGCTATGCAAAGTTCATATTGACTCTCCCAGAATAGCGTTACAAGATTGGCTATTTTAGACGCTTTCATGATTTCCCAAACCGGAAGTGATCTAAAAATAACTTGAGCATGAGTATCTCACCCAGGGGCATTTTTAGAGGGAGGGTGCAGGGGATGTGCATTCCCCTCTCCTACTCGAGATGAAGCCTTCTTCTTCGTATTCGCTTTTAAAAATGTTTACCGTGACCTCTGGCTCAACAGTCAGTTACGCTATTCCTTAGTGGTGCACCCCCTCCTAAGAAAAATCCTGGATCCGCCCCTGTCACAGTGTAAGTAAGTATTGTACGTGTGGTATTGTAAGTATCGTTTAGTGGTATAAGTAGCTCTTAATTGAAAAAATGAAATAAAATAATAATCATAGTAAAAAAAAAAAAACTTGGGAGTGGCTACCTTGGGTATAAGGCCTATATGGAGGTTTAATTTTCTTACCCTTTATCTTTTTTTGTTTCGTATAAACTCGCATAATTAGTTTTCTAACTCTTTCTGGCCCGCCTAGACTGGCACTAGCTATCCGCGAGGGAGGCCAATTGTAACAATGTAAGTTGACGGACAAAAAATGAAGATTGTTGTTGAGGTCTACAGTGTAGTTATTGTACTATCAGCTTTAACAGTTCAACATCTTCTCCTATACTATCTTTCTCCTGACTGCGTGTCAACTTGAGAAGCATTGCGAGCTGTTTATCCACTCTCTCTGAACGTTCGTCTGTGCATTGGAGGATCACATCAGAGTTCAAACAAAATGGCTCAGCATCCGAGTGACACATGTTGACCACCACGGCTTCGTCGCAAAACAACTTCTTTAAATCAGTTCCTCTTTTCTCGCTACCAAATATTCCTGAGAAACGTTCCCCAATAAAATGAGCCATTTCAAGATCCTCCACACTATCTTCGACGTTGGTTTTGGCTTGAGTGTAAGATTCGTTGAGCATAGACACTATCATATTGACAAGTAAAATTAGCACTGTCAGCGTATAAAGGACAGCGAATGCTGGACCAATGATTCGATTTTCAACTCGAATCTCCTCTAGCGGGAAAGCTTTCCCAAGCAAAAATTCAATTTGACCAGTGAAAGCACTTGTATAGCTGGAGTATAATTGAAGCGTTCGTCCAAACAGCATTACTCCGCATATGGCGAACGCGTTGAGGATGAGCAGAAAAAAGAAAAAGTATGATATCTGGTAGGTGATAGACTGTCGGAAGGACGAAAATAAATATACCACTGAGGGGTTGAAACGAATAAGATGTAAAAGCTTCACGGTCGCCAAGAATATGGCGAAGGAGATCAAAATGTTTTCATAGTTTGCCCAAGAAAGTGATGTTTGGAAGTTAATTAAGCCATAGGGATTCCTGTGAATATCCTTGATGCTCTGCAAGACACATTTTGCTCGTACTATGTAGAAGGCGACAGAAGATGCAGATGAAGCAACTTGCAAAACCTGAACAATGTTCCACGGGCACGTAAAAAAGCTAAGTTTCTGTCGGCAGAGATTGATTAAAATCATAACAAAATAGAAAAGCACCATAACTATGAATAGAAATTGGCAAATGAGATAAAAGTCTTGAGTTCCCGACTGTGTGCTGTACAATTCAAGTGTGTCAACCCGCACTGATGTAAAGGCTGCTCCAGTTGCGAGTACCTCATAAAAGTAAGTAGCGATGCTGACCAAATTCGTGTTGGCGTTAAATACAGTGAGTTCTACCATAATAGCCCTTGTCTGTTGATCAACCCATCTATTCGCAGAGGCCTCCCTAACAACGCGATCTGCTGTTTCCTTGTCGTACCCTAGAATGGCTATATATCCTCCACCCTCGTAAAGTTTGTATTTACCGCGAACTGCACCACTCTTGATTTCTTGCGGGGTTTGGTATCGCCAAGGTTCTGGGCAAACAGCAAGAGCTTCAGGAAATGAAGTGTTCCGTGACAGTGGCATCCAGCCAGGCAAGCTGAACATGGTTCTGTCCTCGATTTTTGGAGTGTAGTCATAATGACAATTTGCAATAATGTGGCTGAGCCTACCACAAGAACCTAAGTAGAGAGAACAAGATGTGTTTATAGTCCGTGGAATAAGCCTACTGTAGAAAAATAAGATCTCTCTAAAACACTGCTGCTATGACTATATACTTCTACAGGATTAAAATAGGATCAACTCTATCCCGAATTGCATAGAAAGCTAATCAATCATAGAGAATTTTACGTGTATAGCTTTAATGTGACATGTATATAAGTCAACGGCGGCGCCCGGTTAATATATTTTTTCATCGATGAGATCGTGAGCGTTCCCTTAGTAACTTCCTCGCAGTAACGACCAATCGACTGTAGGGACCAAGAGCTTTCATAGGACACAAAGGGAAAATTGCTACTTACTTGTTGTAATTCTGACTTGTCTCATTCGTGGCACACCAACCAATATGGACATCTTGTTCTCAAAATATACTTCCCGGATTTCTTTTTCGCCGTTGTACCAGAATCCTGCATAGACGTTGGGAACAAATATTTGTTTCATCCAACCCCACAGTCTGTGTGGGTGGGTGACCTGAATTTAAAGCGATAGAACCTTCTTTTACTTAATGCAAGAAGTACGCTTATTTTAGGTCACATAATGCTATGTGCTTACTTTCGTTTGCTCGTTTTCCCCTCGTTTTGTTTGTTTGTTTATTTTTTTAAATTCTGTTTTGTCATTATTGGTGTTTTTCTAGCGAATTAAGTTATGCCTTAGTAACATTGAACCCCGGTTGCCCCTTTAAATGACTTTTTAATGATCGCTACCAGCCATTCTAAGTCAATTTTGATGTTCAGTGCTGTACTTATCACATCAGGGGGTCTAAAAAATCCAATATAGATTAATTGCGATAGCCGGCGATCGATATTCTCAGAATGTGCGCAATTACTCGAGCCTCTGAACGAATATTCGTAGTTGAATCTATCGCAAATCATCGGATGACAAGGTCAATTTTGGAGTCTTCGAGGGTTTCCGAGCGATCTTTAAAACTATTTTGACGTAGGTTTGCTCACGACTAACGGAATTAACAACAATCGGACCAAGTTTTAATCAATCAGAATTAAAGTAAGTTTTCCTTTTATGTAATCTCTAACATTTAATTGCTGTTGCTGACTTCACCTTTTATGACAAAAAAACGGCCAGGATTTATCAGAAATACTTACCGAATCAAATTTCCCAAATGGTTGGCGCATGGTACTCGTCATGAGGAATCGGTGGATGTTTTTGTTGCCATAGCAAACGATGGCCATGAGAAACATAAATAACAGATGCAGAACAACGTCTCTCGCCATTCCAGTTAATTTATTTTCTTTCCTCTTATGATCACGTATTTTCTGCAGCTCGTATTGCCTGCGGAGTTTCAATGGATCATCGTCATGTAAGATGCTAATGTCGTCGAATGTATCACAGGATTCCTTCTCTTTCGAAGACGCTTTATTCTTTCCCTTTCTCATTATCAGTGCAAAGGAAATGGCAATAACTGCCTGCATAACCTTTGCGGGCTGTAGGAAAAAAATGTCTTGAACGAGAGAGGTCAAAATGGAAGCCAGCCACTGTTCAGATAGTTCTTTGCCCCACATTAAACTGTAAAATAAAGTGAATGCTGCAGCCAATAAAGTTGTCGCAATGCACAAGAACCATCCGATATAAATGAAGAAATAAGGTAATACACAACTTGTCTCACGACGTTGTTCCTCTACAAGGTGCTCAATTTCCTCATGTGGTTCGTATTTTTCTTTTCTTTTCCGTGGTTTGCTTGAGCGAAAAAGAAGCACAATTAAAATATTAACTGGTGCAACTATCAGACCACTCTGTACTCCAATGACAATCTGTCTCCAAGAAAACTTAAATGGCCCAATCTGAATAGTTCCGTCGGATTCTCCACTAGTGTTATAAAACATTGCATTGGCAATCATGGCACTGAACAGCAACGAAATACAGCAGGAACCTCTTTGCACACGTGTAAAAGTACTACTAGACCGTTTACTAATCACGGAAAACCATAAATGGCTATCTGTGAGCTTACGGGGGGCAAGTGACCTTACGTGATCTGCAAAAGTCGCAGGATTCGCCTTATTTTCACACAACAAAGAGACTTCCAATTGTCCGTCTTCTTTATCGACTGCAAGCCATCTATTCGCTGGAAATCTCCATTTTTCCTCAGTCTGTCCGTCCTTAATTATGGCTTCTTCCAAAAACCAGGAGGGATGTTCGCCTGAGTTGTCATGCGTAAAAGTTAGCTCTGTTAGGGACCCTAAGGGCTTGTCGGCGATAAGAGTAAATCCGTGAATACTTCCCCTTGCAAACAGTACGCCTGAGCTGTCATTACCACTCAGTAGAAATGGTTCGGTTTCTTCATCCTCTCCTTTTATTGAAAGTGTTACACTGGCTGTAGTTCCTGAACTTTGCCAAACTCCAGTGCTAATAACCAGTTCGTAAAGATAGTTTCCCTCTTCCGCAATAACTATTTCTCTTGGTTGCACCATCTGCAATGAGAGCGAAAAGAAATACTTTTCCAGCTTGAGAAAGGGTACGACTAAACTAGAGGGAGCGTTATGTCTTACTCAAGAATGAAATTAGAAGAGCTATGCATGAAAATAAAAAATAAAAACTTCATGGAGTAAACGAAAAGTCATTTCTTTGACATGGTGCTGCTTAGTGGGTAACCAACAGAACTGTCAATGACCATGACTCCCAACATATTGGCATCTCATGACAACTCACCAATCTTCTCACTGTTTCGCAGCTTTCGTTAGAGGCTCCGCCGCTGGGTCAAAGTAATCGAAGGCAAATCGAACTGCCAGCTATGCAGGCTGTTTCACCGGTGCTATCTTGTATAAATGTTTAACCCAAAGTACTTACCCTATTTTGATCTCGGTTGTCTGCCCTCCTGGCGAAAACGATTGTGACAAAATATAATACGAATACGCAAATGATTGTAGCTAAAACCGCCACGTTGCCAGTCTCGCTAAGTCTTGTGAACTCCACAAAAACCTTCTCGAAGTCGATAGGATTAGGCGCTTGGATTAAACTTCCACCAAACATCGTTAAGTGATTACAAAGGCAATGAAGAGAGCCACCATTTGAACTACGCCCTACCTATAAGCAGATTTGAGGAAAAAATAGGAATACCATGTATCAAATTCAAACACCATATGTTATTATTTGATATCTTAGTTGATTACCTTAAGTAATGTAGGGTTTCCTGATTCTCAGTAACTAAATTTAGACCGAAGAAATACATATACTATCAATAACTATTGTTCATGTAAGTGACATAAAGCACAAATTACTCAGCAGTGGTGGAAACGATATCCCTTAGGTTGTAGCACATGGATTACTGGCTTCGTTGCCTCCGGCGCTCTCTCTACCCCTACGACCATTTGCGTTGAAGGCTATGGGTTTGTGTTCTTACTTTACTAGTTTTATTACCTTGCATCCGTCAGAGGTCCATCGTTCTTGATTGACAGACCAATACAAGCAATTTGATTGACTAATTGCCATCTTATAATTAATATCTGTCTTGGAATCATACTGGGGAACGACGGTTTTGTTATAACCTTTGGGCGGTGGATCCTTAAAACCGACACACGAACGCTTTTCTCTGCTACCGCTCAAACAAGATCTCTTTCTCCTATCGTGATCGACATAGCTCTTTTCTCCCAGATACAGGAGACCAAAGTAGATCAATATTGGCTCTGTTGGGAATATTGTGACGTTGAATACTTCAGGCTGACAGTCATCGTCGTTGCGTTTGCTTTCTAAACTGTCTGTACATGACGGGTCGAGAAATACCGTGTAATTTCTATCAAATTCCCTCGGCGATGGTTTAGATCCAAATCTAACAAACACTTCAATTACAGCAGTGTCCCTCTGTTCTTCTATTGTAAGAGTAACTGGGACTCCCACCTTCTCCGCGTAAAACGATCGTATCGTCATCTTGTGGGGTTGAAGAAATGTGCCACTGCTTGTATCTTGGTCGGAGCTGTTTGAAATTATTGGAATTGTGATAACAATGTCTTCAGTGAGATTAGTCACGTTCAGCGTCTCTTTA